TTTATTGAGCACCTACTGACTACTTGGCACTGTGGGAGGGACTCAAGGTCAGCGGTGCTCTCTAGGCTCTTGCAGTCTCGGAGACTGATCTAGAATGGGGTGCTGGTGTGGTGGGCGGGGCTGGGGGCAGCCGTGCCCAAGCGGGGGGCTCCGCGACTCCCTGGATTCGAGGGCTTTCTCCGCCCAGCAATTGTTGCTTACCTGCATTTGGAATAAAGTGCAGGCTCCTTACCTCGCCCCAAGGTCCTTTAGGAACTGGCCCCTGCCCACCCTCCTTCACGGCCCTTCCTGGATGCCCTTCGGTTCTGGAACGCTGCAGCCTGTTCTCCTCTGGTAGGCTTCACTGGTTCCTCCCTGAATGGGCCAGACCTCAGTATCCCTTAACTTGTGGGGCCTTTTCCACATCTGTTGCTCTCCGCCATCCTTGCGGCCCCTCCCAGTCGAATGCAAGCTCTGTGAGGGCAGAGGCCTCAGATGTCTCCTGCCTGGCTGGGTATCTCCCAGCACTTAGCGCCTGCTCTGAGGTCCATGAGATTTGTGGAATGGCTGGAATTTATGCCGAAGAACTTGGCCCTCAGCCTGAAAGTGATAGGGCACATCGAAGGGCAGGGAGGGCAGCCATCAGATGTGTGCTTTAGGAAGAAGATGTTCGGCAGCTGTGTAGATGTTGATTTAGAGCAGGGTGTGCTGGGGACGGGTAGGAAGCCAGGCCAGTTACCTGGGAGAATTCATTTGTTTGCTTCTTTCTCTGTCTGCCTTTCTTTCTGTTTCCCTCCCTCCCTTCCTTCACACGATAGAAATTACTTCATGCTCATGTCAAACCCACTTGTCAGCATGGACTGGGGGGTTTGCTCCACGCAGTCTCAGGGACCCGTGGACTGACCGAGACCCTGCTGTCCTCAGCACATCGCTCTCAAGGCCATTATGGGTATCAGGTTCTAGTGAGTAGATGGAAGTAGAGGGTTGTACACGGGGTTTATGGGCCAGGTCCAGAAGTAGTAGAAGTCATCCCACCCATGTCCCATGGACTAGAAGCTGTCTCATGACCCCACCTTGATGCAGGGAAATGTTGTCCCTGGGAAGCAGCTGCCCAGAAATATCCAGATAAGAATTTTCCAAAGCCTGAGGAATGGCGTTGGAGTTTGAGGAAGGGGTGTATTTGTGAGAGATTGGGGAGAGTTTGGAGTTTCAGACAGTGTGGTGACAGGCAGTAAGGGAGATGATGACATCCAGGTTCCTGCTCCCACCTTTGGGGGGTGGTATTGCTGGCTGAGAGGGTCGGAAGGATTTCAGTTTGAAGCTGCCCTGGAGGCGGCTCTCCAGGTTGAAGCTTGGGAAGAAGGCCAGGCCAACGTGCTGCGTGGGAGCTGTTGGCGGGGTGTGCGAGGTCCCTGGTGGAGCCTGAGGCCTGAAAAGAGGGCTGAGGGTGGCACCCTGGGGAAGTCAGCTGGTGAGAGACGAGCAGAGAGGGAGGAGCTGCCCTGAGAGGAAGGAGCCTGACAGAGAACTGTCGCGTGGGCAGGTGGCTGTGGGCGTAATGACACCACCGAAGGCTCTTTGCAGTATCCTCCTGTGGTAAAATTACGGTGGAGCCCAGTTACCTGGTGAGCCCCCCATATTTGAGAAAAGAACGATGGAAACGTGATTCTCAGGCTAGTCCCCCCTCATGTGGTAAAATAAAGCGTGATTCTCAGTGAGTCCCCCACATGTGGTAAAATAACGATGGAAGCCCAATTCTTAGGCGAGCCTCCCACATTTGGGCCCAGATTTTACTTGTCTTGGACATCTAGATGTCAGAATTTACTGACCTAGATGATTCTGAGTTCTTCTTTCTGACCCAGGGAATTTCTACAGTTTTCCTTCTCTGTTTCTGGCCACGTTAGGGTGAATGAGTGTGGTTTGCTTGCCTTCTGTGCTTTCTGGTGACTCTGCTTGTCTTCCTGAGTCACGGGTCAGTTTTTACAGAAGTAGATCATCAGTCCTGCTCTTGTTCATTGGTGGCAGGGCTGATAAGGGTCCCAGGCCTCTTAGGAGGCAGTGGGGCACTTGGTCCAGAGTACAGTCCATGAGCCAACCTGCTTGTTTTGAATCCCTGCTTTGCTCCTGGCCAGTTGGGTGATCTTGGGCAAGTTACTTTACATCCAAACCTCAGTTTCCTCGTCTGTGAAATACGCATGATGATATTGCCCATCTCTTAGCTAGTTGTGAGGACGGAATGGGTTAACTCGTAAAGCGTTTAGGCGAGTCCCTGGTACGTGGTAATGCTCAGTAAGTATTAGCAGTAGTCATCATCATTGTAATGATTAAGTGTATTTGGCTCTGGCAGCACCAAAGTTTTCGCCCCTCTGCCTAGAATGTTCTTCCTGCCTCTCCTTGCCTGGCTTGTCCTCAGCCTTTCAGGATTCAGCTTAGGCTTCCAGGAACCTTCCCCTGGCTTCCTCCCCACTTCTGGCCCCAGCCCACACTGGCCCAGGTGCCCCTTTCTCAGGCTGATGTGCTCCCAGCACAGCTGGCCTTGCACTTTGACCCCACATTGGAATCACCTGTCTGCCGCATCACTAGATGAGAAATGGGGAGCCAAGGATGACGCCAGGGTTTCAGCCTGTGCCACTGGGAGGGGGAGACTCCCTTCACTGAGGTGGGGACAACCAGGGCTGCTTCTGATAAGTTATCCACATAAACTGCTGGGTCGGTGCTCTGACGTGTCATTGGACAGGTGTTTTGAGTGTAAATGTATTTCAGAGATGTTGACCCAAAAGCCAAGCTCTTTTTCCTGCACTGCTTTTGTGAGTACTTAATTTGCCTCAGAGCACCATGTTCTCTAATGGAATTAAACTTGCCTTTGTCAGAGGCAATCAGTGAGGGCGCTTTAAAACAACAAAGGATTCTAAGAAGCCTGTAGTTTTTGGTGAAGAAAAATTTAAAGTGGCCAGGAGTCCCCGGGGTTCCAGAAGTTGGGGGGAGGGGATGAAGGCAGTTGGTTGTGAGAATAACCCAGGTGCGCCTGGCTCCATGGGCACCATTTTCCCTGTGGGGCATAGAGGTCCCCCCCAACCCCGCTCCTACGCCTTTCAGGCAAGGCTGCTTGCCCCACCAAGCGCTGAGGTGTCCTCAGACACAGGTCTTTCAGGTCTGAGTCATGCAGATGCTATTTGCCTGGCACTTCCGGGTCTGTGACCCAGCTGGTCATTTGAAGGCTTATCTTTGATCCTCAGGGCATGGGGCCAGAGGCTGGGCACGGTGAGTGCCCAGCGGAGGCCCTTGCCCACATTGCTCTGTGATGGGTGACTGGTGAGCGGGGACTCTTCATCTAGTGCCTGTGAGGGGCGCTGTCCTGGGACCTGGAGCTTGCTAGATGCCATCTTCTCCTCTGTAGCTGGGAATTATGATTCCTCACGGCATAGATGTACTGGTTTTCCTGGTGCTTGTGAACATCAGGAAGTGTTCTAGAAAAATCCTCTTGAAGAGTGACTTTGCCAGCACTGCTTCTTTGCAGGAAGAGCTGCAGGAATGGCCATAGCCTGAAGACCCTGCACAACCAGGGCGTGCTGAGGTCCCATGGCGTGGACCACCTCAGCTTCAGCGAGCTCTGCCAGCTCTTGTTCCAGAATGACCCCTGGCTCCTGCCTGAAGTGAGTGCCAGCCGGGCTGGCTCTGTGTGAGGGAGGAGGGAGGAGCTGCCCTAGACTTAGACTAAAATGCCTTGGTGAGCGGTTAATGGCGATGGCTGAACAACACGAACGTAATTAATGTCGCTGAACTGTACATGTGGAGATGGGAGAAATGGCAACTGTTTTGTTACCTATATATCTCCCCCCCACCCCCGACTCGCACACACACAAAGACACAAGGAAGCTGCTCTGGCCGGTTTGAAGCCCTTTGGACTTTCCCAGTGGAGGGTCTCGTTCCTGGCCGTCTGCCCTCCTCCCAGTTCCCACTTTAACCACAGGCACCTTGCAGCTGTGCATCCAAAGTTAGTGACGTCCTCGTAGCCACGAGCTGCATGGCCTGTGTGGCTGGAGGAATGACAGCTCTGGCCTTGGGGCCTTCCCCAACCAGTGGCTGGTCGGTGGGGAGGATGTGCCGTGCGGGGCCTCCCTCAGCCGGCCTCTCTGTCCTTCTCTCACCAGATCTGCCTCCATTACAACAAAGGAGACGGGCCGTACGGCTCCTGCACCTTCCAGACGCAGTGCATCAAGCTCCACATCTGCCAGTACTTCTTGCAGTGCGAGTGCAAGTTTGGCGCGAGCTGTAAGCGATCCCACGACTTCTCTAGCCCGGAGACGCTGGTGAAGCTGAAGAAGCTGGGCATGAGCCCCGACCTGGTGCGCAGGCTGCCTGCCATTTACAGAAACGCGAACGACATCAAGAATCGGGGGTCCGCCCCGGACACTCCGCTCCCTCAGGCAACCTCTGGTGAGACTTGAGGATTCTGCAGGCCCACAGCACCGGGTCTTGGGGTCCAGTTGCCATGAAATGGGCTGTCTGATTTTGGAGAAATCTAAAGGAGCCCATGTGGCATAGTGGTTTAAGTGCTCAGTTGCCATCTGAAAGGTTG